GGCCACCCACACCACGAGACTATGAGGACCGCGTTGTGTGGCCGCGGCGCGGACCCACGACGCGACCTCCTCGCGGAGAGGATTGCCCGCGCTATCGACTGGCCCCTCTCCGCAATCTGCCTGACTACCACTACGCCAAGTACTCTGCCGCGCGGCTCTGACGCAACGAGTCGTGAAATTCTCATCGATTGCAAATGAATTGAGTTTAAGTCCCTCCCGTGTGTCTGGCGGCCGTGTCGTGCGCGGCCGCTGCGCTAGAATGTCACCAATTGCACCCGGCCCTCCCTGCAGCAGGGGGCGCTGCGCTGCCGTTGGCCGCCGCCGTGGTCTGACCTCCGACAATGATTTAGACGTTGGATTAGGACGCTGGGCTGCGCCGGGCTGCTTGGCGAGCGGTGGTGCACCGCCGGCGCGCATGGTGTAACCGCGGCCACCAAACGAGCAATCGTGTTACCTACGGTACGCCATCACCACGGCCACCACGGCCGCCACCGCCACCACGACCACCACCACCATCCCTGCCTACCAGCAGGACCGAACGGCACCCCCACCGCTTCGACGACAGCGTCGTCCCCATTCCAAACAAACGGCCGTGTGTCACCGTTGTCTCTGCCGCGGACAAGCTATTTCGTTCCAGACCGGTGGCTCTGAGTCCGCGGGCCGAGCCGCGGGCCGACCGCACGGATGCCCCGCCCCGCCCCGCCGCATGCCCTTTTGGCCGCTGCGCCGGCCTTTGGCCCCCGCCTCTCCGGAGCGTTTCGGACCCTTTCGCTCGCATTATGGTCATGGCCCCCGCGGTTCAGGCCGGTCGTGCCCCGCCGGGCGATAGGGCCCTGCCCCGGCGCTGCCCCGCGCGAGCTGCTGCAGCAGCGCTCCCTTTTTGGCGCGAGTGCGCCGCTGCAGCAGTGCCCCGGCCGGTGAGAGTTGCCATTCGTACATCGGCGTCTCTTTTTTCTCGGCTCTGGCCACAGTCCAGCTGACCCGCCGGGGCCGCGCTTGGACACACCGCCTTGATAATAAAGTAGCTTTATGCCCTTAGATCCTGTCGGTGGCGGCGGGGGCCTGTTGCGCGCCGCCCCGCCCCGCCCCGCGCAGATAGAGCGGTCTCCGCCGCTGCAACTTTCCGTGTGGCATTTTCAATTGAATTCTGAGAGCGTGCTTTCCGCCCCCCGCCCCTTTTACTTCCCTCTGGGGTGTCGGCCCGGTCTCGCTGCCGGGGCGGGCGCTGCCGGGGCGGGCGCTGCGCTTGGGGTGGGGCTCGCGCCCGCGGGCTCGCCGTGACCCCCTCCCCCGGCCGCCCGCCCGGGTCGCCCGCATACGACCGGGGGCGCCCACTTCCGTCGATAGCGCTCGCCCGCCCGCCCGGCCCTGCAGCAGCGGCGACGGTGGTCTCTGGTCCGTGCGGGGCCCACGACAACCAACCCGATTATTTTTTACGCCCGCCCGGGATTGTAAAGCCGCAACACTGACACTTTGAGTCGTAAAAGTGTGTTCCAGTGAGCCCTGCTGCTGGTAGTGCCGGTGGTGGTGGCGGCCATGCAGGTCCGATGGTGGTGACAATGGTGGCACCTCTGTCACTCGGTTGAGGGAGAAAGAAGCGTTTGGAACAGCCGTCTTCAAACTTCAGGGATGGGCGGTGGCGTAGCTCGCGGGGAAGGAGGACCCCTCAAAGGCCCGTGTGTGTTGGCAGGGCGAGAATATATCCGGAGCAAGTATGAATGCAGCCCTTAATTGGGGATGTTTGTTGTTTAATTACAACGCGGACATGACGGGGATTGTTTTAACGGCCATATTCCAAGATAATATTGCAAGGTAAAAATATTTGCTGTGTGCTATGAAAAATAGACCCTCCCGCTGTTCTCGTGGGCATCTTGCCGCGAGTGGCTGATCAAACACGCGACGGGCCGCGCGCTGCGGCTCTGTTCTCAGGTGGTCCGGAATGACAGCGGCGGGCGATGGCGATGCGGAGGAGAAACAAGACGGATGCCGCTCTGCCGCTGCTCCCTGGCGCCCCCGGCGGCCGGCCCGGTCCGGAGGCAGGCCGGGCGATAAAAATATCGTAAATGTCAGCGGGATTGCGCCGCGTTTCAGAGCCTCGCCCTCCCGCGGAGGCGCTCCCGCGGATGTAGGCAACCGGGCGGCGACTGGGGAGGGAAGGTCTACTCTTCTTTCCTCACCTTCGCTCAACAGTAACAAGGGGGGAAACAGAAACAATGGGAACAAATTATTGGTTTTTGCACGGAAAAAGTGATTAGCTGTGTGGCAATTTCAATAGCTAACTGATGGAGAACTAACAATTTGGTTATGTATAGCTAAAACTGTACCTGTGTGTAGCTGCTTAGCTAAAAATGTAGCTATATTTGTAGCTGCTTAGCTTTTTTTAAAGCTAGCTAGCTATCGGTTAGGACAATCCCCTAAAGACTTCTCTACCAGATGGAAAACGCCCCCCCCCCTTCTCCCCTCCTTGTTTGCTACACAAGTAAACTTTTTGGACAAAGGTTTTTTAACGACCTAGCTAAATTTTGGCGACATAGCAAAGTTATTAGTTACCCTTTTTAGATATTGTTTATCCTTATAGCTAATCCTTTTCTGCGTGCTGTTCACATCTTTGGCCCCGGGCACACGATGGACGCGGTGGGCCGGAGGGGCGGTGTGGGGTGACAGTGGGGCACGCGGCCAGGCTCTTTGCCCACACTGCAGCCGGGCGCAGCCTTAGCCGGGCCGGGGCGGCCATTACGTGAAACCAATAAATTCTGATAGGGCGCCTTGTTTATGTCTCACCGGACAGATGACTGACCTTGGCGCGGCTATCAGCGGCACAGCGCCGGTTGGTTTTCTTCCTGATCACGGCGGCGGTGGCTCGGCGGCGGCTCGGCGGCGAGCGATAATTGAAAACGAAGTAGGAGTGAACGGGAAAAGTCTTCTTGATAAGGACGCGTGCAGTGGAACGCTCACTTTCGAAGCGAGCCGCAGTAGGCCAAACGTTAGAGTTTATTTTGTCCAAAACAAAGATTTGATAAAACTAACAGTTTTGCAAAGTTTTCTCTGTTCCTGATTTTCTTCCCTCCCTAGCTGCAACCTTTTTTTTTTTAAATTGTAGCTTGTAGTTTTGGAACTGAGTTCATCTGGACCGGAAAAGTCTGGACGAATTTGAGAGGAAGTGCACTGGCTGACGTTTCCCTCCACACAGTAGGTCGGCCTCTGACACACTCTATATATTTGCAATCACATTTCGGAGCGAGCGCGCCGGCTCGTCACCCGCCAGACAGACGTGACACCGCGCTCGAGGCACAACAGTGTTACAGGCCGCTGATTTACAGCCAGGCCGCATATCGCTGGCTGCGGGGCGGCGGCGGGGCGCGGCCCGCGCGCACTATACTCTGGCGGAGAAATAGATAAAACGGTCCGAGGATCGAAACGCGGCGCCGGCGGCCGGAAGGTCACGGCCAGCAGGGAACGGGGGGTATTTTGAGACGACCGGCATCGTCGTGCGGGTAGTCGCGTCATGACCATCAAACGGCGTTAAAGTTGGAGCGGTATGACGCGCGCACCCGGAACGGAGCGGTTAGCTTTTCAACACAGAGAGCGCGAGGCGTGCGCCGCCGGTGCGGGCTCCTTGTACGGATAAGAGCGTGTTGGGACAACACAACGCAAATGAAAGTCAGAGTTATGGCTTTGTTTTCTCAGATGACTCTTGGCGGTCGTAGGCCCAATGGCTTGGTAGAATGTGTTTCTGCTCCAAAGGTCAGCTCATCCTCTCTTTCTGCCTCGGTCCGGGGTGAATGAATTTGCATCGCAAATTTCGCACTTTCACCTCCGCGTGGTTCGAAGTTGTGCGTTTGCGTTGCGCAAGGCGGGGCCACGCCCACGCCACGGCCGTGGGGCCCCGGGGGCCCAACTCAAGACGAATAGGGTCTTTGGCTCTAGGTAGCTGCGCCTCCGCACGGCCTGCTGCAGCAGGCAAAAAAAATATGTTTTTTAAGGCCAAAGTGTTAAGAGACTGCTCTCGTTTTCAAAGTGACAAGCAGCACAAGGGCGAAAGCCAAAAAAAAGTATCTGGAAAAAAATACAGCAGCGCACGCGCACCAGAGACGAGCGCAGCAGCAGCTCGCGCGCCCGGCCGCCCGGCCTTTTCGGGTGGGCCAACTAGCCCCCGGCGGGGTAGGCAACGTGCAGACACGCGTGTCCGAGGTGCTCTGTGCGGCCTACCTCCCAGGCGCTCTTTCGGGCCGCCCGGCCGCCGGGCCCGCCTCGCCTGGGCTCCCGCCCGACTCCTCGGCTCGGCCGCGGCCGTGGCGGCGGCGCCCTTCGACTTTATTGTTAATCGCATGCAAAACACGGCGGGAATGTTTCCCTAATTGAACGGCATCGGCGCCCCGAGTATTGCATCGCCATCCTCTCTGCAAGGCAGCACACACGGCAGCCAGTCCTTTCCCTTTTTTCTTGTGTGTGTCGCGTCGTGTAAGCCGAGAGAAAAAGTTAAGATCACAATGCAGATTCTCTGCCGCGCTCTTGCGCGGACGGGGTCATCCCCAACACGCGGACAGCAGCACCGCCGCCCCGCTCCCCCTCCCCTCGGCCAGGGAGGGACGCCGCAAAGTCGTATCAGTGAAGGGCCCTGAGCGACCAAGGCGCACAGTCAGATGAATTTACTCTGTTGAATTTACTGGAGAAACAAAGGTGTCCGTCTAAACCCATAAAAGGGGCTAGAGTTTAGGGTCATTTTAAACGCATTAAAACTGCAAAATGTTCCATTTTCAGCATCCTCGCGGCCTTGTACGCGGCCTTTTAAAACCATAACATGACAGAGTTTTCGATGAAAATTTCTTAATACCCCTGCCCCTGCCTGCAAAAAATGCTTTTTAACTTATAGCACTCATGTCTTTCCAGGTTACTGAAACAAAAATATCTAATGCACCAATAATTAGAGAAAATGTTGTATGTTATTTGATAGAAAAATACTGAACGTGATGTGAAATTGTCTTCTCTGTTTGCCGCAGGAGTGGCGGCTGCTGCTGGATTTGCTGGGGCGGCCGGCGGTGCTTCGGGCCGGCGACGCCTTCCCGTGACGTCCATGATAATTCACCGTGGCGACCAGGGAGACCCGCGCCCTTGGGGCCTTGGGCGGCCCAGAACCACATTCATCATCGCAGGAACGGGTTCCGCCTTTTCGAGCGTCCCCGAGGGGCTCCCGCGCCTGCTGCTCGCGCCCCGCCCCCCTTGGCACCGCCCCCCGCGGCCCCCAGCGGCGTGGCGCTAGCCATGCGGGCCGCCGCGCCCGTGAGTACTTTTCATCATTTACAGTTCGGTGCGCTCGGCGGGGGGTCCCCGCCACCGGCGCTGGTCCCCACCTGACAAGCAGAGCACGAGGGGGTAGGGAGCCGGGGGGGGGGGGGGGTCCTCGTGACACCTTATGCACGTGATGGCCAACTGATAAGATTGCCTGACACACAGACTCACTCGCTCGCTCACTCACTCACTCACTCACTCACTCACTCACTCACTCGCTCGCTCACTCACTCACTCGCGGCTGCTCTTCCTCCTCCCTCTTCTCGTGTCTGAGAACAACATGCCGCGCCAAACAAAGGACGCTTTTAGCTTACGGCCTGCTACCGTTCAGGTAGCGAGTAGTCCGCGATGCGTGTTGTGCGCGAGGTGAGAGAAGGAGGGGGGGGGGGGGAGAGAGAGGGGGGGGGGGGGGGGGGAAGGTGCACTGCTCTCACGTGAGAGGGACAGAGAGCGCGGGGCATGTAGGAGGCTCTCCCGCTACATCTTCACAGCGTTGCGCAGCCGTATAAACACGACAGCAGTCGCGAAATCGGCGAATCGAGAAAGAAGCAGAAAATCCATCTGTGAGTCATGTATCGTTCGATACAGTGTCCCATAACATATAATTTTTGGGGAGATCTTCTTGCCCTCTCACAAACTCCACATTACCATGAACTGTGCTGTGCTAAAACCGAACTATTCCCCCCCCCCCCCCGCGGCCTTTTGCTGCGTTCGGCGCCCGGCGCCCACTGACCCCTCGGGTCGCGGAGACCGTCATGGTGAAGTCGTGCGACTTCTTCCAGCTCGTTAAAGAGTACCGGAGTCCCCCCCTTCCCCTTCTCCACCGTTGCAATCAATGTCGCCGCGTTAATGATCGCCGCGGAGGTGTAAGAGCGCGGCGGCGGTGGCGGGCTCAAACTGCTCGAGCCAGCTAGACTGCTTTGCCTTTTGACCCAGAACTTGGTCTCGGCGTGGCGGGGCGTGGTGGGGCGTGGCGGGGCGCGGTGGCTGGCGGGCGTGCAGTGACTCAGCAGCCACACGCTGCCTTCCTTTTCCCGGTGGCTGCTGCTGCAGCCGCTGCAAGCTGCAGTGGGGCAGTAGGAGACCAAGCAGCAGTGTGGGTTTGCTCGCGCGCGGCTTTGACTTTCCGCGCCCTTTCGCGCGCGCGCGCCGCCGCACTGAGCGTTATTCTCCTCCAGCAGCGTGGGCGTGGCGGGGCGCCGCCGCTGGACGCGGGGCGTCGTCGCCGTGTTGTCGGTGGCGCGGCGTGGCGCGGTGCCGTCGCGCGCCGCGCAGGCCGTTTGTGATGCAATATCCGACCCGCTACGATTTACAATGCAACAGTTGGCACCTCAGATTATCGGGACACGCAACGACGGGGCTCCACTTGAGCTTTTAATCTAGTTTCGTTTCTTCTTGTTGCTTGCTGCACTTGGAAAAATGGAGTTACGACTGACTCACTGGACTCGCCCCCCTTTTGGGGATGCTATTTTTTTTTATTTTTGTACATTTAACCGGGGCAATAAGATAAAATTGAGCACCCTGCAGAGGCACCAAAATGCCCCAAAAGTGCTGACTTTTATTGACTATGGTGGATACTCTCAAGACTTCGCAAAAAGCACCAAGATTGAGCACCTTCACAAGGCACTGAGTCTCAATCTCGATTTTTCCTACAATATGTGCACTTGTGGCGTGCCCCGTCGCGTCCGGACCTTTTCTGACACCCATCGGATTTGTTTTCCCGAAAAGAACAAAACTTTTAGCTCGAGGGAAAAAAATGCTTCCAGCCCGCTGGCTATAGTGTTGCCTGTTATACATTCGGCTGGGCGGTCGATCCTTTTGCGGGTCAGTCGAACGAGCGGTGGACGCGGCGTCTAAAAATGCCAAGCTCCTCCCATCGATGGCTGCCCCGAGAGGGAAAGGGGTGGCCCTGTGTGTCCAGGCAGGCGGCGGCGGTCCCACGGGCCGCGGCGTGGCGTGGCGCGGCGCGGGGCGGCGCCCAGAGGATGGCAGATATCCTTGCGATAGTTGTGGGCTACACCCAGGCGCGCCGCTGCACCAGGCCATCCAGCTGGCGGTGGCCTCGCGGGCGTGCACACGGTGCGACGAATACTCTGTCACGCCTTGGCTGTCCTGGAGGTCCCCGAGGTCCTGGTGCTAGCTAGCTGGCTAGCTAGCGGGCTGGCTATCTTGCCCGCTGCATCAGCGTGTCGCGAAACCAGCCAAGGTCGTCGCCCGGCGCGGTACCTGGCGGCGGTCACTGCAAACACACAAATAGCAAAGCGCGGTTCAAATCCGGCCTTGATGCGAGCCTTTTCCTCCTCTCTCTTACTGCTCTCGTGCCGCTCGCCTTTCTCTGCCCTTCCGCTGCCCCGGCCACCGAAAGTGATAGTTACTGCATGAGCATGTGAGACTAACATTACTTCACATGAAAATTAAAGTGTATTGCGAAACCACAAAGTTATTACGTATTTAGCAATTTGATTGCTGAGTGTACCACTTGGAGCTTTGTATGCCGGACAGTCTTCCAGTGATATAGTGGTTTAATACCGAGGAATTACCCTAACAAGTGTAGTCTATTTTTAACAGACAGCGGAAAGCAGAGTCTCAAGTCTGGTTTCGTTTTGCCGCCAGCCAGCTGGTGTATTTTGCCTTACAGAGTAGACGTGATCTCTAGTGAACCATGAATGGACCCCGTGCCAGCCCGTGCCGAGCCGGAGCCGTTGCGAGATGCCGTCACTGGTAGCGCGTTCTCCAGTGTGCATCGCTCAAGGGCAGGAGGTGGCCACTGCGGTCACAGCATCGCGCCCATGTCACTATTACAAGCAGAGACCCTTCTATGTGGCAAGCGCCTCCTCTTGTTTTCTTGAAAGAGTTCTCTGTACAACACACACCTACACCGCTGGGTAAACAGACTGGAATGTGTGATGCGGCACTCTTGCAAGGGGATTAGAGGAAATTGATCGTAATCGCAGTATAGCCAGCTCTCCATTCACCACACTAAAATTGGAGTAAGGACTCTTTGGGCTGGATTCATTTTTTTGACTGAATGTTAAGCAGACATATTTTTTGCAAAAAGCAGAAAGAGGAAAAAAATACGGAGCTGGTGTTGATGAGCACAGTGCGGCATGACGCAAGCGTTCCGGCTATCGAAATTCCGACCGGTTCATAGAAACTGGCCAGCAAAGCAATCGGCGAAACGCGAGGTGCAGTGAGCAGGCCGCAGGTGCTCCAAAATGAGAAATGCGCCAACCGAAAAGTCCGAGCTTGTTTATATCTATCTGTTTTGTCTTCTTGATTACGTTTTTGTGAGTATCTTATAGCGAGCGTTTGGTGTGAATCAATATTTTCCTCTCAGAGCTATAGCTGGAGAGGACAAGGTTGTAAAGGGTGAGGGGGGGGGGGGGGG